AGAACGGCAAGAAGGCCACGTGGCTGCAGTGGAACATGAGAGGGGAGAGCAGGATATGGGGTCAGAGAGGGCTTTGGGGGACAGGTGGGGCACGGTGAGGCAGGAGGGAGCGAATGAACGAGCCAGGTATATGATAAGTGTAAAGACATCATCTTGCAAGAGGCAGGCGTGACTTCTGGTTGCCGCAAAGGCTGGCAGCGCCTCCCCTCCTGGGTCCCCTAGACCTTTCCCCAAGGTCCCCCACAGAGAAGAAAGAGCCCTGCGCCCTGTCACGGGGCTGGGCTCTGATCTCCCATTGCGTCAGCTGCCCTGGCCTCCCCGTCGTCTCTATGTGCCCAGGGCACCTGCTGCTCTCTGGGCTCCTTCCTCCGCCATCTCTGCATGGTCAGCCTCTCTGTCTCAGCCCGCAGGTCACCTTCTTAGGCCACCCGATATCAAGTTGCTCCCCACTTCATGCCCCCACCCACCTGCCCCATCCTCTAGCTGTTTGGAGCCACAGGGAAGCGTGGTGGTTAACAGCTTGAGTTCCAGGGACAGGCTGCCTGGGTGGAACCCGGCTCTGCCAGAGGAGCCACGAGCGACCTGCCTTACAGCTCGTTCCCTCGTGGGCTGAAGGTGACAAGGGCACCCACCTCTCAGGCTAGAGCAGGATTCAACAGCAAATGCACGCAAACCATCCTGAATGGCACCTGGCACAGAGGGTCCTGCAAAAGCTTAGCTGTTTGCTTTTCCACCCGGGGCCCATCTCCGTCTTCAGTGGGCTGTCTGTCTCCCCTCTGAACCATGCGGGAAGCGGGTGTTGCCAGTCGGGTTCAGCCCTAAGCCCCAAGTGATGTCTAAACAGACCTTGAAGGAAGAGCTGGAGTTAGCCCAGGTGGGGAGAGCGGAGAGAGCGCAGCCCATGTGCAACCCCCAGGACCAGACTGGTGTGGGGCGGGGCAGGAGTGTGGGAAAGGAGGTGTGTTGGCAGTAGTCAGATCCCAGAGGGCCTGCAAGCCTCACTGAGGAATTTGGATTTATCTAAAGGCACCGGGGAGCCACAGAAGGCTCTAAAGCAGAGGAGGGACAGGATTAGATTTTGTAGAAAGAGGCTTGGGATTCCCTGGGAGGAGGGGTCAGAGTGAGAGCATTATTGCCTTTCGTGAGTCAGACAGACTCTGTCTCTAGCTCACTCTCTCCCTCCCTCCCTCCCTTCTTCCTCCTTTCTTTCCCTCCTCCTCCTTCCTTCTCTCCCTTTTTTCTCCTACTTTCTCTCCTCTCCTATCATATCCTCTCCCACCCACTCTCCTCTCTCCCTCCCTCCTTCTCTGCCTCCTCCCACCTCCTCCCTGAGCAAAACTGTAATTCCTCACCCCCTCTGGCAGGCCCTGGCGCCCTCCCTGCCCTCCCTCCCGTACAGGTCATTATTTTAATTAAACTCTGGGATCTGTTTTACTAACCTGACATCTTGCTTAGGGAAACCAAAAGAGGAGTTGCCTGGGGCCAAGGAAGAGACTTGCCAGAGGCCTGTGGAAAGGTTTCCACCCACCCCTTTGTGGGAAGGGGCCTGAGCTCCAGGCCCAGCACTTAAAGCTGCAGCCGAGCTATTTTGTGTGTGTGTGTGTGTGTGTGTCGTGGCGTCAGCCTAGCTCACAACCACCTCAAACTCCTGAGCTCAAGCGATCCTCCTGCCTCAGCCTCCCAAGTAGCTGGAACTAAAGGCATGTGCCACGACACCCAGCTAATTTTTCTATTTTTAGTAGAGAGATGGGGTCTCACCCTTGCTCAGGCTGGTCTCATACTCCTGAGCTCAAGTGATCCTAGCCTTGGCCTCCCAGAGTATTAGAATTACAGATACAGGCCACCACACCCAGCAACTTTCTCTTGAGGTTTAAATGAGTTAACACAGTGCTTTTCAAACTGATGGTCGCAAAATCAATTTAGTGGGCCACAACCACCATCGCAAACACAAGAACAGAAGACACTGGTGTGTGTTACCGCAATACAGATGTGTACTATGGGCGGAGCATTTATTTCAGGGTATGTGTGCTTGCTGGATTGTTTTGGAGCTGTACTTATTGCTTTCCCAGTCCAGAAGGCTTGAAAGCTACAATTAATGCACTTAGAAAAGTGCACACAGTAGGTGCTCAGACTGTGGTTGCTGATTTTTCTTGTGGTAGCAAGAAAAGATTTCCTGTTCATTTCACTGCAATGGGTTTTGCCCCATTTTACACATGGGGAGACTGAGGCTCAGAGAGGCTGTCCAAGGGCTACATGACCATGCTAAGCCATGAACCCTGGCCTGACCCGCCTGAGTACGGCCCAAACTCCCATCCAAAATCTTCTGGAAGTCGAGGGATGATCAAACCAGACTGCCATGGTTTAAGGAGGGCCCTGGGCAGCCAGGGCCTGCAGGACTCACGGGAGAGGCTGGGCAGGGACCCCAGGGGCTGGGCACCCTTGACTGTGGCCCTGGAGGTGGCATGAATCCCTGGCCTAGTGATCTTGCCTCTCCACCCTGCTCCCTAGCCCAGCCCATAGCTACCAAGGAAAACAAATGCCGGAAGGGAAAAGGCTGCAGGTTTTCTGCTTCCTCCTGGGCTTTCCAGAAACCTACAGATCTAGAAGAGAGCTCCATATGGGGCAGGGGAAGGTTGTGTGGCTGAAGCAGGGTGGGGTCTGCAGACCACAGGGGCTTCAGGAATATTCTGTGAGGCCGTGACCAAGGAACTAGTGCCTGGCTGAGAGGCGGGGGGCTGGGTCCCTGCCTTGGTTCTGCTGCGGCAGGGCTGTGGCTGGGGCAGTTCCGTCCCCCTCTGGACTTCAGCTTCTGCACCTGGAGCACAGGTGTCGTGGCGCCAATGATCCGCAGGAGCCATGCCGATTTCTAGAAGCTGCTCCCATAAGTCTGTGTTTCTAGTTCGGAGAGTTCGCTTCAACTTCCCTACTGGGGAAGGTGTTGTATATTCATCCAGCCAACATTTACTGAGCACCTGCTGTGTACCGGGTAGCTGGGATGCAGAGGGCACCACGACAGACACCCTGCCTTCTCGGGGAACCCGCATGCTTGTGCGTGAGACAGTCATCAAGTCGAGAAGGAAATGACCAGTGCTTTGAAAGCCCTGAGAAGGCTTATGGGATAATACATGAGGGAAAAGTGGCTACTTCGCCAGGGTGGCCGGGAAGGCCCCCCTGGGGTGACATTTGAGCTGAAACCTGAAGGATGAGAAGGAAAGAGACGTGCAGAGATGCCGGCGAGGAGCATTCCTAGCAGAGAGACCTGCGAGTGCAAAGGCCGGAGGCGGGAATCAGTCCAGGCGTTGAGGAGCAGCAGGGAGGCTGGTGTGGTGGGGGGGGGGCGCGAGGGGGAAGAGGGGGCGCAGCAGATCGGGCAGGGCCCTGAAGGCCGCGTGAGGTGCTGGCTTTATTCCCGGTGTGCGGGGATGCAGGGAAGTGGCAGGATCAGTGATGGTTTCAGGAAGCTCATTCTGAGCGGAGAATGGACTGTGGTGAGGGGGACATGGGTACAGCAGCAGAGGTCCCTGCAGTGGTCCCGTGGGCTAGTCGGGGCCTGGCGGGGGTGGCCAGCGGAGGGGTCAGACTGGCCCAGACTTTTTTGACGGTAGAGCCGACAGGATTTGCGGACGGACGGGGAGGAATTGAGGAGGGCTCTCAGGTTCCTCGCCTGAAGATCTGAGAGGCTGGAGGTGCCATGTGCCCCAAAACAGGAAAAGCCCAGGAAGGAGCAGGTGGTAGGGGATCAAAAGCTCGGTGTGGCCTCGTTAAGCGTGAGGAGCCCGCGCGACAGCCAAGTGTCACAATGAGCCTCCTCCCACCCTCCAGGCCCGGAGAGCCCCAGAGTGGGTGGAGGGCAGGCTGCCTGGTGGCGATTAATTCCCATGACCCAGTTCTGTCTTCTGTGGCTATCTGGGCCACCTGGACGGCAGGGCCTCACCCCTCTGAGCCTGTCAGCCACCCCTAGCCTGGCCCGGCCCTTCCAGCTCTCCGGGCTACACTGCCGAGAGAGCGGGGAGGGGACCCACCGTTCCCCTCCCACCGGCCCCCGTGCGAACTGAGTGTCCTGCTTCTTTGCCTTCGCTCTTGCCCCTCCCTGTGCCTGCAGCTCCCTCTCCCTCCTCCCCCCACACATCCTAGTTCTTCCCATCCTTTCACGCCGAGCCCAGGAGCCTCTAAGAAACCTTCCCCGGCTTGGAATAATAAATAGGAACCCTGTGTTGAACGCCTACTGTGCGCCAGGCTCCCCAAAGAGTGCTTTACCTTTCTGATGTCACCTCACCTTCGGAGGCAGACATCATCTCCATCTCACTGAAGAGAAAGCTAAGGTTCAGAGAGCTGACGTGACTATTTTGAGGTCATACAAGAGGAGTGGCAGAGATTTGAACCCTAGGATTTCTGTCACGTTTCATAAAACATCTGAGGTACTTACTCAGCTTGAGGGACTCTGGGCTCCTTGAGGGCACAGACCGAGTTTGTTTAGTTTCTGTACCCCCGGGACAGCACAAGGTTTCCATGAATGCTTGCCGGGTGGGTGGATGGATGGATGGATGGACGGACAGACAGATTAGTTGGGTGGTGGGTGGGTGAATGATAGATGAATGGATGATGCATGGATAGATGGATGGATGATGAATATAGTGGCTGGATGGACAGGTAGATGGTGGATAAGTGGATGGATGGACAGATAGATGGATGGATAGGAAAAGAGAGATAAGATTGATATGAGGGAGAGAGAATTTCTAGCTGGGGCAAGTAGGAGGCACACTCTTCCTTTTTAAGGGAAAGCTCCAGCCATCTTCTCCCTTTACCCATGTCCCCCGGCCACTCCTAGCTGCAAGGGAGGCTGGGAAACAGCCTTTATGGGGGGCAGCCTTGTTTCCCTCTAACCCTCAGTGGCTCTGCAGCACCAAGGAAAGGAGAGAATGGCTGATGGGGACACACTGCCCCCCTCACTATCCCTGGTATTTATTTTCCTTCACAGAACTCTCCACGATCTCATATTATCTTGTTTACTTGTTTACTGTCTGTCTCCCCACTGGAAAGTGAGCTCCACTGGGGCAGGAATCTTGACTGTCGCGTTTGCCACCGTGTCCCCAGCAGTACAAATCAGTAAGAATGAAGGAAGGAACTCGAGCTTTTTCCTTGCACACCAAATTTTTCTCGGATTTTTTCCGTCATCCTATGATCGCACCTGTGGAGAGATGACAGACATGTGCCGGCCTCACGGACGCAGCAGTGCCGAGGGGGCGGCAAGCTCCTATTCGAGAAAAACACACTTTAGCTGGATGTCATTTAGGGAGTGTCACGTCAAAGTAATGTAACAAAAACACCAAACACGAGTGAGATGGAGCACAACTCGGGAGGGCGGGGAGGTGGAAGGTCCCCAGCAAGCCAGCAGCAGTCAGAAGTCATTACCCAGCCAGGCGCACCCTGGCCAGGCAGGGTCAGCGCCGGAAACCAGACTGCAAAGGCTGCCCAGAGCCGCAGCAGCTTGGTGGCTAACGGGCCAAGAAGCCCCCTCCACCCTCCCAGCTCTTTCCCGCCTGGCCTCATACAGACCCAAAAAGATTCTGGTTTTAAGACATGAGGTCACTTGGTTCTTGAAAGGTGGCATATGCATCAGAGGCTCGTGTGGCTTCAACAAGGCAGTATAGTACTGTGGTTCACATCGTGGGCTCTGAACCCAGCCCTGCCCAAGTTCAAATCTCACGGCATCTTTTGCAGCAGAAACCAAAGGGTCTATAGAGACTAAATTATTTCCTGTCAGTGCTGTGGGACCTTGCACAAGGATCTTAATCTCTCTGAGCTTCCGTTTCCTTATCCGAAAAGAGGGCTGTAAAAACACGCCCATCTCCTCGGGATCCTGTGAGTTAATTACATGCAGAGTGTCTAAAGCAGGGGCCAGCGACAAATCTAGCCTACCACCTGTTCTGGTACAGCCCACAAGCTAAGAACAGTTTTTACATTTGCAAGTGGTTGGAAAACATCAAAAGAGGAATATTATTTCGTGACATGTCAAAACCATATGAAATTTAAATTTCGGGATCCATAAAGGTTTATTGGAGCACAGCCATGCTCGTTCATCTCCGTTTGTCTGCAGCTGCCTCCGTGCTACCATGCGGGGCTGACTCGCTGGGACGGAGACCGCACAGCCCGCAAAGTCTAGAATATTTACTGACCCTTTGCAGAAAAGTTGGCCGAGCCCTGGTCTGGAGGTGTCGTCTTGCGGGTAACAGGCCTTGGCGTGCGTCCATTATTCTCTTTATTCAGGCCCTTAGAGGAGCCGCACGGGGTGAAGACCAGACTGCATTTATTAAGCACCAACTGTGTTAGACACATTATATTTGTCATCTCCTTTACAACAATTTAAGGTACATGTAACTATCCCCATTTTACAGATGAGGAAACTGAGGCTCTAAGAGTCGATGGGACTGGCCCAAATCACCCAGCTGGGGAAGTGGCAGAGCTGAGATTTGAACCCAGGGCCTTCTGGTTCCACTGACTGTCCCCCTCACCTCACCCCCTTGTACCATGTACACCTGCTGCCAGAGACAGCTCTGGGAACGTGCCAGCAGCCGTGTCTCTCCAAGGCTGGGCAGAGGGATCGCCTGGAAGGAAGAGTTTGTTTAAAATGCGGATTCTCTCTGTGGATCCACAGACCTCCCGAATCGTAACCCCTGGGGAAGGCCCTGGAGTCCACGCGGCTAGCAAACTGCCCCAGAGGATTTCAGTGTCGGCAGGCTGGCTGGGGAGGAAGAGTTCCCCATGGCTGCAGCGTCAGAGGTTTCCTGAGCAAGGGCGGCTGAGGGGCGGTTGGACAGGCAGGGGCCAGGGGAGGCACTCCAGGTGGGGACCGTGGCCGGAGCGTGCAGCGAGGTGCCACACTGGGCCCCTCCTAGCTCCGAGGCAGGCTGCATACAAGCCAGCCAGGTTTCCAGGTTGGGGTGACAGTCAGGTTCTCCCAGGAGCCCTGGCGCTCCCCAGAGAGAAGGCAGCGTGTCCGCTCCGAGACTGGAGCCGCCTTTCCCTCCGGGCTCTTAATTGCAAGCTCCTCACCCTGACCGTCCAACCGGGCATGGCCTGGCCCCCACCTGCCTCTCCCGCATCTTCTCTGACCGCTGCTTCCCTTGCATGCTCCACACGGCCACACTGGCCTCCTTTTCCGACCCTCAAACACACCGGGCTCCCGTCTCAGGGCCTTTGCACGTGCGGCTCCCTCTGCCGTGCTGCGCAGGTCCCCACGCCGCAGCTCCACAGGCGTCCTCACGGGCTGTTCTCCACCAGCGGCCGCCTGCCCGCTTGCTCCCTGCCATTTTGATCTCTTTGTTGGTTCCTCTGCTGTCCCGGGGACAGTGACCCCCTGCCCCACCCCCTGCTCTGCCCCCAGAGCCCAGCACGGTGCCTGGTCACAGAAAGCACTCAGTACGTGGCAGCTGAATGGACATGAAATGTGGGACATGCTCAAGCCAGCGAGGGGCTGAACGGAGGCTCTCGGTCCCCTGGTTAAGCACTCGGTGTCCCGGGGACTGCTGACTAAGGGTTTGGGACCACAACTTTGTGGCAGGAAATTGGGCAGAGAGGTGCATTGGAGAGAATTCATCAAAGAGAAAACAAGGCCCTCGGAGGACACTTCCAGACAGCAGTAGGAAGGCTGGTGATTAATCACCAAGGAGAAAGACAACGGGATCCCGGGGCCTTCCCAAGAGCCAGTGTGGCCCAGAAAAAGAACTTGACTTTCAGGCTGGGCTTCTCAACCTCGGCACTCGTGACATTTCTTTATTGTGGGGCTGTCCTGTGCATGGTAGGAAGTGTAGCAGCATCCCTGGCCTCTACCCGCTAGAAGTCAGTAGAACCCTCATCACCACCCGACGCCCAATGTGACAACCAAAACTGTCTCCAGACATTGCCAAGAGTCCGCTGAGGGGTAGCATTGCCCCTGGCTGAGAACTACTGCTTTTAGGTGGAATCTAAAATATTGGCATCTAACGTACAAAGTGTTTAAGCCTCGTGCAGGTCTCGGACAGACACGACCAGCTCAGACACCTCCCGGCATCCAGCAGGTCGCAACCGTGAACAGGGAGGGATGCAGCCCGTGAGCTGCCGGTTTGGGAGTTCTGTCCTCACAGGTCAGGCTGGCCCTAGAGGTCGTCTCATTGTGTCGATGGGAAGACTGAGGCCCAAAGAAGGGAAAAGACTTGGCCAAGGTCACACAGCAGGATGGTGGCAGAGCTGGGCCTAGAATCAGCCTCAGTTTCCCCATTTATACAATAAGGATTAGACTGGGTGGTTGGTGGCTGCCTGGCAAACTGTTCCACCTCCACAAGACTCAAGGGGTGCCTCCTGCAGGAAGTCCTTCCTCGCTCCTCCCAACAAAGGTAGACTTGGTTTCTCTCAAGCAGTGGGCAGGTCTCTCTCCCCCGGGCCTGCAGTAATTTGCTTTGCCATAATTTGCGTGTCTATCTCTCTGTTAGTAGACGGGAAGGAAGACTGGGTCTAAACTCGCTTTTGCAAACCTGGCACCTGACCCAGGGCTGGTCATTTTTGTAGCCTTGCCATAAAGTTAAAATGTATTCATTTTTATTCGCCTATGATATATATGAAATATAGAGCCCTTCATTCATTCAACCGGTGACTGCAATGCCCCGGGTGCCGCGCCAGGCACCGCAGATGCAGCGATGAACGCAGCAGACCGCGTACTCGTGCTGGATCCCCCAGTTTAGGGAGATGGGTGTTACAGCTAATCCTACAAACGACTGAAATCAAGTTGACAGAGCCCAGAAAAGCGTGGCGAGCGAGGTGCCCAGGATGCAAGATTTAAGGAGAAGCTCCTTCTCAGGGTGGTGCGCCTGCGTTTTGGTTCTAAGAAGGGCCCCAGAGAAAAAGTGCAGACGCTCTGAAAGTGTAAGCAGAGAGTTGTAGCCTGATCCAGGAGGGAGGAGGAAGTGGAGACGGCAGCAGAGCCAGCGAGACGCGTGGACGCGTCACCATTCCGGTCCATGGTTCTCCACTCTCAAAGCCCAAGTCAATATAACTCCCAACTTCAGCGGAACTTTGGTAGAGAATCACAAGGACATTTGTATTAGACTTGTATGCGTTTCAGTATGCAAATGCCTGGTCACGACAATGACACCTAAAAACACCACGGAGTTGTCAGGTGCTTACACTATACATAGAAGCACTGTGAGTGTGGCAGCGACAAAAACAGACGTACAGGTGTGTTGGCAGCTCCCATACCACAAGCGTCATCGCCGTCAGCTACACTAGTTTTCCCAAATTGTGAATAACTCTTGGTAAAGTTCTAAACAGAAGAAAGTACAGTTCTTCCCTGGCTTTATCCAAGGGTGGCATAAATTTCTGGAAAATTCAGGATAGATTAAAACCTTGGCAAAATAGATCTGGTGTGTTTATATGTAAAATAGAGTCTAGGAAATTTAAACAAGTTGTTCACCTACCGGAATAACCACCAGGACATTCCAACATCGAGGGACAGTGCTTCATGGAGCAGAGTGTCGCATGCACTGCAGATTGCCTGGCACCCCAGCCTGAGGCATCCCCTCCCATCCTTGTGAGGCCCTCACAAATTTCCAGAACATGCCCTTATGGGCAGTACCACCCTGCTGAGAATCACTGAATCCAACCTCTAGCTAACAGCCGCCCCTAATTAGAAGGTCACCTTTGTTATCTGTTGATCTTTCCATTCCTAACCTAATGGTTTGTTTACTGACATCGCCATTATCAGGGTCCTTGACACACTGAGAATGTCTTGTCTTTTCCTCCCATTTGTGCACATCCTCGGTAATTATCTCTGGAAGGAAAGGAGGCAACACAAGTACAAATAAACACTCCCAAGGAAGGCGGCAGCCCCAGGCTGTATTGTTTCCTTGTGATTGTTTCTGCCACTCACGCCTGATTCCTCGGACACCAGCCAGCTCCCACGGGTGGTCACGGCCAGAAACAGGCAGGGAGTGTGGTCTGGAAGCCCCTCCGATTGCTCCTTAGAACCTGAACCAGAGCGAGCTCTCCTGCATGCCCAAGGCTTTTAGCTAGAACAGTTTCTCATCTGAGCATCTAATTTATTAGACTTGAGAAAGAAGAGCAGAGAAAAATTCCCTCATTTCCCCCCTCACCCGTTCACCCCTCCCTAACCATCACCCACCCCAGCCCCTGCACGAGCCTCAAAGAGGAGGGCACATCTGAAATAAAGGACATTACTTTGGCTTCTGACCTTCCTGGTTTCAGGTCCTCACCTTATAAAAGTAGGGCTTTCAAAAGGAAACAACAAATACTTATCTTACATGGTTATTGTTGGAACCAAACCCATTAGGGATGCGACTCTACTGTATACTAATTCTAATCGTCCCCGCCACCTGCGTGGCAGGTGTTCTCAGTCCCACTGCAGATGAGGAAACAAGCTCCAAGGGGGCCGTGACCTGCCCAACCGCACGCCGCGGCCAGCAGCAGGGCTGGGGCTTGTCCCATCTGCTCCCCGCAGAGCACACGCCGGGCACAGCCACTCCGCTGCAGAGTCATTTACCTTCTCTCAGGGTAGAAATAGCTGTTTACCCTATTCTCTATGAACAGGTTTCCAAAGAGGCCTCCGGAATGTGTGTGATGAAGCCAGTGCATTTAAAAATACAGCGCTTATTACGGAACTTAGTATTATGGAACTTAGTATTAGCCAGCCTCCCACCCGCCCGGCTCTAATTAAAGGCCTGTCTGTCTGCTGCTTTACAAATCATGGCTTTCTGGGGCCTATAATTTAACCATTCCTATTCAAGTCCTGGCGAACTGGGGGTGGAATAATGGACTCCCCGTGCCTCAGTGAGGCTGGCGAGACAGAGACAGTTACCCTTAGTGTGGCCTCGGGTTCTCACGCCGTCTCCGCCGCTCAGGGTCAGGACTAGGGTAAGTCAAGTGAAATACCCGCCGGGGGCACAGAAATCCAAGATCAGTATTATGAACGTTTCCTTTTCCCTCAGACTCCAGTATGGCTCAGATGCCACTGTTACTGATCCTGCCGTTACTTAAAATCTAGATATTTTGTTCATCATGGATTTTTTTTTCACATTCAGTTTTATTTTTAAAAAATATTGCATTGAAATATTACTTCTCTTGATTACTGAGTTTTTTGGCACTGCCTTAAATTTTATACCCTTACATTTTTTCACTCTAGTCTCAGCCCTGCTGCCACTTCCCAGTTTACGTGACCTTTGTCAAGTCGTCTCCCCTCTTTGAACTACAGTTTTCCCATTTGTAAAGTAGGGGCACTAATGGTACCTACCTCATTGGGCTGCTAGATCTAAAGTCCCTGGCATACAGCTGGCACTCAGTAATGGCTGCCGTTGTGGGGGAAGAGAGAAAACCGGGCACTCCTGGCAGGGGGGCAGGACAAGACTTCACGACGCAGGACTGTTTGTGCATCAAGGACATCGCTTTTCCCCGGTTCCCACTCACGGAATGCCAGTGTCACCCCACCCCCCTCCCCATCACCGTGACAACCAGAAACACCTGCCTTCCCCCGTATTTCCAAAATGCCTCCCAGGGGAGGGACAGTGTCACCACCCCTGGGCTAGATCACAGTCTTTGGAGTCACACAGGCCTGGGCTCAAATCCAGATTGTCACTTAGCTGTGTGATCTGGGGCAAGTTCCCTAACCTCTCCAAGCCTCCTGTTTTCTTCATTTGTGAAATTTGTAACAATATCTCATAGGGGTGATTTGAGTATTTGGATGTTCAGTTTTTGGTAGCTGCTACTGTTATAATTATGTTGCTTGTGTTCAGAGCAACAGGACTTCTCGGAGCTGAGCTCCCTTGTGGCAGTTTGAGGTGTGTGGGGCAGGGGACCATAGACAAGAAGAGGTTGTGAAGAGGGGACGGGCAGATCTAGCTGGTAAATGTGTGTTATTTGAACTGAACTGCATTTACATATTTTAATTAGTTGCCAACATTAATGTACTGGGAAAATTCACACACACACACACACACAAAACCTTAGATTTTTGTTGTTGTTGTTTCTATTGAGAAGTTGGAAAATTAGGCCACCCTGTGCCCACCTCTGTTCCCTCCTGAAGCTGGTGGTGGCCCCAGCACTCCTTCCTGGAGCTGCATATCCAGGCTGCTTTGGTCCTTGGCACTTCCTGCCTGGCCCTAGGACACCATGGAGTTTCAACCCCTGGCTAGCAAGGGGAGAGGACTGAGCCATTCAGAAAACTGGAAGGAAGAGTTCTAACAGGAAGCCTGGGATTGAACTAGGGTGTCAGGGATGATAAGAAGTACCCTAGGAATTCAGAGTTCCTTGAAAAGAGGCTGAAAGAATCAAGCTTTTCGTTTGTTCAATCTCACGAGCTCCTTGCAACTGGCTAAGAGTGGGAACGTGTTAAGCTTCTGGGGAAGGAGGCTGTGGAAGAGCACGATCTAGAGGCTGGAGTAGCCCTTCATTGTCCAGGGAGAACAGGGCAGGCTGGGGAGGCCAGTGAGGGGCAGGGCACCAGGTCAGGAGACCCTGAATCCAGTCCTGGCTCTGCTGCAGACTGGCTGAGCCACCTCAGGGTTAGCGACTTCCCTACCCGGGCCGGTTCCCTATCTCCAGGCAGGAAAAAGGATGGATGGAAGGACTGACGGGCGGGTGGGTAGGTGGATGGATAGACGGATGGATTGATGACTAGAAGAATGGAGAATGGATGGAAAGAAGAAAGGAAGGAAATGGATGGATGGAAAGAAGGAGGCCTAGTTCTGCCTCTGAGCGGCAACCCATTAATGAGCATCAATGCAGTGGCTGCTCTGTGCCCAGCCCCGTGCTAGTCACCGTGGCAGAGACAGGAAAGTCAAGTCAGGACCCTCCCCAATAAGGAATTCACTGTGTGGTTGAAAGGCACAAAGGCTGAGTCTGTTGCCCAGGGCAGCTCAGAGAAGAGGTAAAATCCACAGCAGTGCTTCAATTCTGCTCACAAACCGGGCTCCTCCATTATGGTCCCAGAACCCTGAAGAGGAGAGAATGGTGCTGGCCAGGCTTCCTGTGGAGCCTGTGAGGGAGGCTCCTTGGAATGTTCCGGAGCCCATGCAACTGGCAGCTCAGTGAGGGCAGGGACCTGTCTGTGTTCACTGCTGCATCCCAGCATCCAGCAGAGCCTGTCCTCACACACAACCGTTCAGTGACATCTCTTCAATAAACCATGACTAGCTGAGTCAGAGCAGCACTGGCCATGGCCATAAGCAGTTTCCACCAGCTTTGAGAACCTGTGTCCTCGCCGCTAGGATGGAACTAACAACACCCACCTTGTTATTATTTTATTTTATCACGGGGTTGTGGCAAGCTTTATAAAGGAACGAGACAGGACTGTGAAAGTGCTTTGAAGCTGGGGAGAGGTTTACAAATGGAAAATGTAGAGAGAGCAGCAGTAACGGCGTCAATCACAGTACCAACGATGGCCGGCCGTGGCGGTCACCGTGGTAACAATGGCAGTGAGGCTGTTATTCGCGGTAGGGGGAATAGGAGCGTTGACGGAAGCCGTCACCGTACAGGCGACAGCAGTGATGGTCACGTTAATTTAGGTGGTAGCAAGAATAATACTGTTGGTAGCAGGAGAGAACAGAAGGGAGAGCGTTACAGGATAGGGAAAAAATGTTCTGACAGTTACGAGCGACAGAAATCCAATTCAAATTGGCTTAAGCGGGGAAGGGACGGGAGGCTGATTTATTGGCTCCTGCAACCGCAGAGTCCAGGAGGAGCCCTGGCTTCCGGCCCAGAGGCACGGGCCCTCGAACAACGTCGCCAGGACGTGTCATTACAGCTCCATCTCTCCCCATCTTTTGTCTCTGCCGTCCCCTGGGTGGTTTTCACTGTCAGGCAAGCTCTGGGGCCTTCCAGGCTTCCCACCCCCCAGTTTGTCTCAAGAGAGAACTTCTCCTCCCCATAGTTGCAGTCAAAGATCCAGGATTCCTTCTCATTGGCCTATTTGTGTCACATGCCCATCCCTCTGCCAATCACTGTGGCTAGGAGGGTTGGCCTGTGCTGATTGGACCAGGCTGGGTCACATGACCACTCCTGAGCTGGAGGTGAGGTCAGGATGGTGTTATCAGAAGGGGAAAGAGATTTGTAGGGCAGGAGGCCAGGGGGTGGCCTTCAGAGATGGGGCCACCTAATGATGACGTGTGTCAAAGGTCTCCATGCTTGGTAGATGCTCAACAATTCCAGTTTTTCCTCCCTATGCTCCAAGGATAGGGTTTTTCCCATACATTGGAGGGCAGAGCAGCCCTAGGTTCAAATCCCAGCTCTGCTACCTGCTAGCTGTGTGGCCTTGGGCAAGATACTTAACATCTCTGTGGCTTGGTGTCCTCATCTATAAAATGAGATGACAATAACGGATTGTTTTGAGTATTAAATGACTTATTGCGTGTTAAGTGCTTAGAAGAGGGCCTGGAACATAATAAGTGCTCCATAACTCTTAGTTATTATTTTTATTTTCTATAAAATGGGGGTAATAGTGCCAACTCTTATGACTTGTGAGGATTAAAATCTCTTCCCTCTGCCCGGACATACTTCTCCTGGATTTCCCTACAGCCCGATCCTTCTTGTTTGGGTCTCAGCTCAGACATCTCCTCAGAGAAGCCCTCCCCGACCACTATAGCTGATGATGCCCCCATGCCCAGTCACTGTCCATCAGCCCATTTTCTTGTCTTTGTAATTCCTGAAGTGACCTGTTAACTTACCCGTTTGTTCACTTAACGTCTGCTTCACCCACCCAAATGTCAGCTCCCTGGAAACAGAGTCTGTCTTGGTCACTGCTGTGTCCTCAGGATCTGGGACAGTGCCTGGCACATAGTTTGGGCTTCATACATATTTGCTGAATGAATGAATGAATGAATGCCCCTTTTCTTCCTTGACGATGTTTTTATACAGCATTTCCCCATCAGAGAGGGCTAGAGAGCAAACATGTAGGAATGGGGAGGGGTACAGAGATGAGCCTGCCACCCTCTGCTCCCAGAGAAGGGCTCTCTTTGGTCCCTGTCCCTGGTTGTGTGGAGGGTGTCAGTTCTGGGTGGCCTTGCGGAGCAGGAGCGTTCATCTTGACATGGGTCATCCCAGCCAAGGTCAGGCTAAAGCCAGCAGGACAGGACACTCAGGCCCGGGATTACTATCCTTACACATCCTGCTGCTTAGCCGGGATTAGTGCGGACGCCACGCCCAGCAGCCCATGCGTGGAGCTCACGGAGAGTGAGTCATAGGCCACCCTCCCTCCTACTCCTCAGCCCCTTCTTGCCTTGGGGAAGCCCCAAGACCCACCAGAGACTGGATCCAGGGCTGCAGGCAGCGGGGCTGTATTTCCTGTGCATTTTCACTACCATTTATTGAATGTCTCCTGTGTACCAGCCCCCAAGCCAGGCACTTTGCAGTGTCTCAATCAGTCCTTCAATGGGGCAGACTAGGGCTCATTTATTTTTAAAATTCAGGCCGGGCGCGGTGGCTCACACCTGTAATCGTAGCACGCTGGGAGGCCGAGGCGGGCGGATTGCTCGAGGTCAGGAGTTCGAAACCAGCCTGAGCAAGAGCGAGACCCCGTCTCTACTATAAATAGAAAGAAATTAATTGGCCAACTAATATATATAGAAAAAATTAGCCGGGCATGGTTGCGCATGCCTGTAGTCCCAGCTACTCGGGAGGCTGAGGCAGCAGGATTGCTTGAGCCCAGGAGTTTGAGGTTGTGTGAGCTAGGCTGATGCCACAGCACTCACTCTAACCTGGGCAACAAAGTAAGACTCTGTCTCAAAAAAAAAGTAAATAAATAAAATAAAATTCAGTTCCTCGATCACTATTGAGCACCTACTGTGTACCAGGCACAGGTCTAGGCATGGGGGATACAGAGGTTAAGAAGATGGTCCCTACTTTCATGGAGCTTTTAGAGGAGAAAAAAGGCAGTGATTAAATAAATATTTTTTTAAATGCCCTTTGGTTCCTAAAGCAGGGGCTGAGGAGGAGAGGTGGGGAGCCACGGAAGGGCGGGTAGAGCTGCCCGATGCGTACCCTGGTCTTGGGAAGCATGTTTGCACCTCATAACCCGTGGCGGGTGGGGGGAGCGTTGCTGCCTGGGAGAGAGAGGAATACGGACCAACTCTCCCCGTAAGCGTTGGTCGAATGGCTGAATGAATGTCCTGCTGTTGCTCAAAAGCCTTCCCAAGCTCCCCATTGACTGCAGCCTCTCATCCAGACCCTCGGCTGATGTTCCCGGCCCCCCACGACCTAGTCCAAAGTGCTCCTCAGAGTCCTTCCCGTCTCAGGCAATGCCACCACTATTCTCTGGACAAAACCTGGGATTCTACCTTGACTCTCCTTTTCCTCACCCCGCACATCAGCAGCTTGGTTGGTTTTACCTCCGAAATATATCTTGAATTTGTCTTCTGTTCTCAACAGCCACCATCTCTCGCCTGGACACCTGCCATGGCCTCCTCACTTTGATCCCGGCTTCTTTTCCAGTCCTCGCAGGCTGTTCCTAAACACAGCCGGAGGATCTCAGAAGCTACAGTGGGCCACGCTAGCCTGCTAAGAAGCCCTCTGTGGCTCCCATGGTTCTCAGAGTACAAATGTCTTTTTTTTTTTTTTTTAAGAGACAGGGCCTCACTCTGTTGCCCAGGCTAGAGTGCAGTGGTGCCATCGTAGCTCACTGCAGGAACTCCTGGGCTCAAGCGATCTCCCGCCTCAGCCTCCAGAGCAGCTGGGACTACAGGCGCACACCACCACACCCAGCTAGTTTTTTTATTTTCTATGTCGCCCAGGCTGGTCTCGAATGTCTGGCCTGAAGCGATCCTCTTGCCTCAGCCTCCCAAAGTGCTGAGATTACAGGCATCAGCCACCATGCCCAGCCAACAAAAAAAACATCTTATCAGGTCTTTAAGGCCTGGCCTCACTTCTCTCTTCAATCTCATCTCTCACACCCTCCTCCTCTTACATATCAATCTCTTCCCTGCCACAGGACATTTGCACTTGCTGTTACCTCTTCCTGGAACACCTTTCCCCCAGATCTTCACCTGCTGGCTCCTTTGCATTCCTCAGCTCTCCACTCACACATCCCTTCCTCCGGGAACCCCTCTAAGGCCACTTGAGCTAAAGTAGTCCTCCCTCTCCTGCCTGTTATTTTTTTATCCCATGACTCTATTTTGTTGATGTATGGCAAAATGGGTGGTGGAGAATGGGAGGGGCCTTCAAAGCAGTCTGGAAGTGGGAGAAAAGGGGTTTGGGGGGCAGGGAGGAAATGCCACCAGGGGCTGTAAGGAAGCTGCAACATGGCCCCCCTGCAGACCAGGAAGTGCAGGCCGCATACGCACGGCGGGGCCATTGCCGGCCCGGACTCCATTCCCACCTCCCTGCTTTGGAGCTCTAGCCCCGCATTCCATTCGCAACCCATGACTCCCTCCCGGCACTGTTTAATCTTTTCCCTCATCGCTGGCCACACTTCTAGTGATTTATTTCGGGGCTCGCAAACCCAGATTCCTACAGGGGCCAAGCAGAGCGCGTAAACAATGTGCACAGGGCACGTGAGACCTGAAGAGCAGAGGCCTGGACTCACTGCCACTCAGCTGGGCCCCGCGTAGCCAGAGCTTCAGATTTTTCTTAAGAAACTGGAATCTGAATTTGCAGGGAAGATAAACGTTGGCAACGAATTCACTGTGTGGGCCAAAACTCCCTGCCCGTGGGTGGGACCCTCCTGCTGGCAGGGTGGCCTTGGGTCACACTTGCCATGCCACTCACGGGCACCAAGTGGCAGGCCCTGGGGGAGCATGTTCCATGCACAGTTTCATTGCTGCCTCACAACCACTTGTGTGGTAGGAACTGTTCTGACCCCATTTTACAGATGAGAAAACTGAGGCTCAGAGAGACAATGTGACATCCACACCAGGGTTCTACCTACATCTAGAATTCATTCGCTTGCCCAGAAGCTAAAGAAGCTCCAAACTCTGCTCCAGGAGCATCTACCTGTGTTGCCTGACTTCACCTGCCAGTCCTGCCCAGTTCACACCGGGGGCTCAGAGAGGTTAAGTCATGTGCCAACGTCACCCAGCTGGCAAGAGCCAGAATTGGCACCCAACCCTTACTCTGTCCAGCTCCAATGTGCAGGAGCCTTTGAGAAGCTCAAATAACCACAGAATCCCTGGTGGTAGTGAAACCGTTATCTGTGCGAGCTCCTACTAAGTGTGAGTCTCTAAGAAGCGCTAGGACTTCGGCCCCTTCCCTGGAAACCCTGGGTTGTAGCCGGGACCCTTGGATGACATTTTCAGAAAGGAGTGGGGTCCTCAGGAATTTTGCTCAAATGCTAACATCCTGGCAGCTGGCTCGCTTTACGTGCCAGCTCCCAGGCCTGGGCTCCTGCTCCTGCCAGACCCGAGTGGAGGGCGGGAGGGTTAATGTTTGAAGGATTCCAGATGGAATTTAGAGTCCGACCAGCAGCTTGGAGCTTGGGAGCCTGGTATGTGTGTGGCGGCGCGCAGGGGGGAGTGTTCATTAACCGGCGTGTTTCTTCCAGTCCCCCTCGCCACTGTTCCTTGGTCTGTGCAGGAAGGGAACTGGGGTTTATTGCGGACCTGCTAGATGCCAGGCACCTTCTGTGTGACAGTTCAGAGTGGGTCAGCCACTTCCTGACTGTGTGGTCCTAGGCAAGTCATTTCACCTCTACGAATCTGAGCTATCTCATCTGTAAAGTTAAGGTGACAATTTTGTTAGCCAGGTCACTTTTCATTTGCAAGGGTCAGAAATCCAACCCGAACTGGCCAAATCAAAAAGTTATTTATGCTATCAATAGCATAAATTGGCTATTGGAAAGTCCAGGGCTACTATCTTCAGGAACGGCTGAGGGCAGGTGCTCACATAGCAGCGTCAGACACCTGCCTTTGTCTCTCAGCTCGGAGTCCCTCTGCTTTCGCCACATTCTCGGGCAGATTCTTTCCAGAGGGCCGGAGTTGACCCTCCAGCATCTTCAGGTCGATAGTCTGTCAGCTCAACAGCCGCTGGTGCCAGAGAGCACCTCTTTCCCAGTAATTCCAGAGAAAGCCCCAGTGTGGACCCTGGGTCTGAGTCATGCCCAACTACTAAACTAATCGCTGTGGCCAGGGGGAGAAAGCTGGGGTCTCATTCTTACCCCCTGGAACTGAGAAATATGGTCACCTCCACTTAGTACATGAAAGTGAAGGAGAGGTGTTCTCTAAAAAGATGATCAACAGTCCAGAACCCTGTCCACCACGATAATACCCACCCCCTAGGTACCTGTGAGGCTTAAATGAGACGATACGCTGCGCGTGCCTTCTAGTACGTGCTCCCTGAACGTTACTCTAGGGCTTGCCTTTGTCATCTTTTTCAAGAACCCCTGAATATCCCTCTGACCCAGCATGGCCACCTCAGAGTTAGGCCAGCCTGAGTTCAAGTCCTAATTCCGCTACGTGGCTCTGGGCAAGTTATTCAGCTGCTTCAAGTTTTGCATTCATCTTCTGGAAAATGGAGGTGATAAGAGGAGCCACTTTCTGGAGTGACTTGGGACCTCGCACGTGGTTGGTGCTCAGGAAGTGGAGGCTTCCACGCTTGCCAGCCTTCTCTCTCTGTGCACACCACCCCGGCCGAACTGTGTTGACTGTCGTTCCCCACCTCCGGGCCCTTGCGTGTGCGGTCGCCTCTGCCTAGCACGCCCTCCCCTCCCCTCCCCCTCTGCCTGCTGGAACCCATCTCTAGCCTTCGAGCCCAGCCCAAATGGCGGCTCCTCCAACAAAGCCTCGCCATTTTGTGCCTTGGTTTTCCCAACTGCAAAACAAGAATTATGAGAATATCTGCCTCTCGGGGTTGATACAAGGAGTAAATTAGATTGGTCCTGTAATGCAGTTGGCGCAGTGCCTGATTTAGTGAAAAATCAATAAATATTAGCTGTAATTAGATCATTATCAGACATTTAGCTGCTAATTCAAGCTTGCATTTCCCCATAGTGCCTTGCTTAGGATGAGTACTCAATAAATATATTGCATTTGGGTGAGCTGGTTGGGGTCACGGTTTCTAAACCCATCCGCCCATCCAACTGACCAACCCACCAGCCATGCATCTACTTTCATCTTCTTTCACTTAATGCACCGGTATTTGTTGAGTGCCAACCCCGTCCCAGGCTCTGTGCTGGGCAGCAGGGATCCAGCCTTGCAAAATAGCCACCATTCCTGCCCACCTGGAGCTACCCTGGGATACTGGGGAAGCAGAAAATAAATGAGTGGACAAATGAATAAACAAGATGACTTCAGATGGCGACAAATCCCCAAGGAGGTGACACAGTAGCGGGAGTGAGTGACGGGGAGGAGGTTGTCTGAACCAGGCGCTCAGGGGCAGCCTCTGTGAGGAGGGAGAGTGAGGGGTGAGAAGGAGCCAGGCCAGAAAGATCGGGGGAGGATCTTCCAGGCAGAGAAGTAGCAGGAGC